TCCTTGACGGCGAATGCGGCCTGCTCCTCGGCGCTCAGATCAAGAAGGGGCTTGTTCTCGCCGGACTTCAAGTTACGGTGGTAAGCACGGATAATGCTGTCGGCATCATCGACGGCAATAGGACGGATATCAGCCATAGCCTTAATCTTGGCAGTGCACTCCTTGTATTGAGCGTCAGTCATCTCAAGCTTGAGCTGCTGGGCACGCGACTTGATGGCGTTCCATCCGGTCAAACGAGAGGCGAAATGGACGTAGCGGGTCATGCCGAAATCGGCAGGGTTGATAATCTCGTAGGTGCTGGGGTTGTTGAGGATGGCCTTGGCGTGGATACCAGCCTTGTGGGTGAAGGCGCAGAAACCGGTGATGTAGTTGTTGAAAGGAATGTTGACCTCAACGGCCTCGGCGACGAGGTCCTCAATCTCCTTGAGCTTCTCAAGCTTGTACTTGCCCTTGACGTAGTCGCGGTCGGCGACCATCATGCGGGCCATCAGGCCACCGAGAGGGGTGATACCGTTACGCTCGCCGATACCAAGAACAGAGGTATCAATGTGAGTGGCACCGGCCTCGAGGGCACAGAAGGCATTGGCAATGGCACAACCAGTGTCATTGTGGAAGTGAGTCTCGATGTCACAGCCAACAACACCGCGCAGAACACGGACGAGCTCGTAAACCTGGCGGGGGGAAGCGCAGCCAACGGTGTCGGCAATACCAACACGGTTCACACCAACCTTGTCCACGGCGGAGTAGATTGACAGAAGGTCAACCAGGTCGGAACGGAAAGAGTCCTCACTGGAGAAGCGGATCTCAATGCCCTTGGACTTGACGAACTCGATAACTTCAATGGCGGCGTTCTTGATGTAGGTCATGTCCTTGCCGTGAGAGTGCTCACGGAGGTAAGAGGAAGTACCAATAACAACATCACTACGGAAAGTCAGTTCGGAGTCAAGAAAATAGGACAAGATGACACGACTCACACTCCATCAACACCGGTCTCGACAGCAATACGGGCATCATCCATGTGGCAGCGAATGTGAGTGAGAATCTGAACATGTCATTAGATACCAATAATCACGAGATCAGAGCAGAACCCTAACATACCTTAGCCTTCAGGCCAAGCTTGCAAATGGCCTCGCAATCCGCACGGGACTGCTCAGAAGCGCAGGGACTTGTGAGTTCAATCTATAGAGTAATTTTCGTTAACCTCAATCCAGGGATATAAAGACTTCGTCTGTCCCGCGACTCACGTAGTCTACACCGAAGTCATCGAGAGCCTTGGCAATCTCGATCTTCTTGGCGGTATCGAAGAAGGCGTTGGCGAACTGCTCTCCCTCACGCAAGGTAGACTCAATAATCTTGAAGCGTGAGACATTGCTAAGGAAATCGGTGACGCCAGCGTCGTGACCGTAGGGGTTGCGAGATGAGGAGGGGTGTGGGTTTTGGCGAGTCTCAATGCCAACAAAACCAGTGTGATCGCCATCTAAATAAAGATCAGTGGGCAATTCTGGTATATTAGCTTTCAATTGGCATACCAGGAGCAATGACGCCAGGAGCACCATTGTCTTGCCCATTGGGCTCGGAGTCGGCACCAGTACACATGGTGCAGATGGGGGAGTTGAGTATGTAGGGTGGAGATTGGAAAATATGAAGCCGGGAAGTTCGGGATAATTGAGTAATTTAGAATGAAGATTGAGATAGAAAAATTGAGCGGTATTTAAGATCTTTGTAGTAAGAAATCTTAGAAAAAAGGGAATGAAGAGTCATAAATTCATAGCGCCGAAGTGGTGGGCGGTGAATCTGCGTAATGGGGGGCACCCCCCTCGCTCTCGGGCGGCAAAAAAGAAAATTTTGATTGTGGAGAGGTGGGGGAAGTACATTTTGGAGGAGTATGATAGGATCAGACAGCCTAACATGGTCTACGACCTGGTATGTACGATATATTGCACTATGACTCAATTGTCTATCACTTCCAATTCCTCGCTTCACCGAAATCTGTGATTGAAACAGTATGTGTGATGCAGTTTACTTCAATGCCTCAGAACCGACATCGGACCTTACCTGTGGGGTCTGACTCATAAGCCCAGAGCTCAATTCAACTGACAATGAAATTCTCGACAAACATTTGTTGTATAGAGTGAGTCTATAACAGCTATGTCATTGCTATCTTCAGGGTGAGGATCCAAGCATTTGATTCTCATTACAGTATGTATCCACGAGTCCGATGTGGACGGGATAGTGATGTCATCATCATTTCCGGTCTTCTAGTTGGCTCGAGACCCCTGGGCCTGTGAAATAATCTGATTACAAACTCCTAAACAAAGGAAGATTCAGTTCATGCTAGCTGCAAGCCCCAGATGACTTGAAATCAGTTTACATACACCTGCGGTCTTTAACCACCAGTACATCCCAATATCAGAAGTTATACATAAAAAAGTTCACTTCACAAATTAAGCCTTCTTGCCTTTTTCTGTCGTCTAGGGAAGATCTCTAAAAAAGATCTAACAAGACTACCAAAACATCCCACTCCCATCGAGCCAACTGGATCATATCATTCTCGATTTCTTTCAAACTCTGGCCAAGTGTGATAGTCTTCTTCAATATCACCACTCGGTTGTATTAACATTGTAGCTCTATATAATCTGACCACAATTTACATTGATTACTATGGAATTGGGGTTGTTTCAATGGTACAACTAAATGGTTCCTCCAGCTCAACAAGAGTCTTAACCCCTACGGATGCAAGATTGAGTTTAGTGCGGCTGTTATAGTGACACCAAAGATCAATCATGCAGTTTGGTGCATACAATCTGGAGGTCATTGTATTGGAGTATTGTATTCTAATCCGGGATACATTTAGTCCACCAACGGAAATCGAGAGTATTTTGATTCTACATGTTCCTATAGAGAAAGAGTGGATATCGATAGGGGCAAATGATTGCGTAGATATGGATTCGTATTCAAGGCATAAAGAGATTGTATGTTTTTACAACATTGATTTCATACTTACAAAGTGTTCCATTCGCAAGACCAATCGGATACATGCATTATAGACCTTCTATTCGACCGGGTTGAACGATATGCAACTTGAAGCACCAGTGTTTTCTAGTCACATGTAGTTTCCAGCCTCCAAGAGACCCAATAGAAACAAAACGATCTTCTAGTATACATCCTAAAGTTGTGGGGTCGGGAACTTTATGCACGACAGAATCCACATGGACCGAGAAGATTGGAAAAAAGACCTAATCGATTGCAATAAAAGAAATGATAGTCAGAAGGCATTTAGAAGGCATCTGGAATCAATCTAGAACATTATCTGCACTAAGGGATGGCGCCATTGGTGCAGAGAAAGGAGGCGCGGGAGTGAATTCAAGCGTTGTGGTTGGCCAGCGCTCAGGCCAGCTGTCGTCCCAACTAGCCATCTCCCTCTGAACACCATTCTTCCTCTTGTCTCTGACTGTGTCATCTCTATCCGCCTTTCAGTCATTGGTATGTATTCTGATATCACTAGTTTAACCTTGTATTAAACTTGATCCATCATTCCCGAAACTGTGTCACTAATCTGTTCCACGCCTCAGCCCTCAAGATGCGTTTCACGTCGCTCGTCACCCTCCTCCCTGCCCTGGCCATGGCCCAGGAGCAGGTTCCCCTCGCAGACCGCTTGCAGGGGTGGTTCAACCAGGTCAAGTCCTACGTGCCGACAGCAGCCCCCGTTGATTCCCCGGTGATCGAGAAGCTGGCCGCGAAGGTTACCGAGAAGAGTGTCACCCACCTGTCCCTGGACAATTGGAAGTCCGTCCTTACCCCGGGACCCCAGGCGGAGGATTGGCTGATCTACACCACTGGTGGTAATAAGACCTGCTTCGGTCGCTGCGGAACTGCCGATAAGGCATTCAAGGTGAGTTGATATTTTGCCCCCGACGCGTCTTTCGCCCGTCACAAAACTCTAACATCTTGTTCTCAATTCCTAGGAATCCGTCCTGTTGTTCTCCGCCGATCCTACCTCACCCCACCTCGGATACTTGGACTGTGAGGCCAACCAGGTTCTGTGTGCCGCCTGGTCCGCCAGCGCTCCCTCCGTCCAGTACTACCAGGTCCCCAAGGAGCCATCTGTTGGCGAGGAGCGTGCCCCGACTCCTCTCCACAACATTTACCTGAACGCCACCACCGTCACCCCCGAGACCATCTACGAGATCCACTCCAAGAAGACCTACGAGAAGGCCCCCCTCTACGAGGGTGCTCTCCACCCTGTTGACGGCTGGGTCGCTAAGTACCAGCTCAACATCCCCATGGGCTACGTTATCTGGGGTCTCGGTGCTGTTCCCAGCTGGCTGTTCATGATTGGTATCAGTTTCTTCAGCCGCACCATGATGTAAGTTGGAATTGATTTGTGCTTGTCATTTGATATCAGTCTAACACCGGAATTAGGAGCCGTCGCGCGGGTCCTACTGGAAACGCCCCTCGTGCTGCAGCCCCCGCTGGTAGCGCAAACTAAATAACCTCTTTTGGTCCCTGTTGGTGTTTTGGGTTGTATATAATCAGTGGTAGTGTATTGTGACGTGTCCAATATACTGCTTGGGTTGGTTTGTGTTCTTTGTTGGGCAGTCATCTGTCGGGAATGGAGCCTCTTCGATCTTAGGCCTTTTTCTAGCTACCTTTTTAATCAACGTATCCTAGCTAATTATCTAGTAGGAGATTGTAACAGATTCACCGAATATATTGGTAACTGTTTGATGCCAACCTTGCTTTGCCTCTGTATCCAAAACATTATTTAAACAGTATATCCCATTACACAGTACGTCCCGAAACCGATAAAATAATAGCGAACAAGAATCCTCAACCACTACACCCTTCCATTGACTTTAGATTCTTCCCGCAATTGCGTGTGTATTTCCTACGAATGTGACAAAGTAATTTCAGGCATGTATTCGCTTGTAATTTGAATAAACATTCAGAGATACGAAGTGCATAAATTCTTCGACATGCTAATGCCATTGTACCAATTTCTAGGTATCTAACCACCCGTCAAGTCGCAGGCCTGTAAGATATCCCAAATGTGTCGATCCATCTTCTCTGACATCCAGTTCCTCCATATCACGAAGAACCTGCTCGATATATTCGCTGACGCCGCTAAGTTTCATAATAAGTGCAATGGCGCGGTGGACATTGAGAAGCCGGGGGGATGGCGGATCTACCGTGTGATGGAGACTTAGGGTAAGCGATCGGGTGACGGGAAACAAGGGATCACGTAAGAAAGGACTGCGTTCTGTAGAGTCAATCCTGTACTGATGTTGTATGCCAGTATGTTCGAAATAGATCTTGAATTCGCCGAATAGCCGGTGGTAGTCTAGCGTTAGAGTGAGGGCGTTCATAGGACCGTCAATAAGATGGATTATTCCGGGATCGAATATGTCCAAGATCCGAAGAGCACTTTTCTTTGAATCGCTCTAGGCATATCAGCACCGTCAAAATACCAATCCTAATAATCAGACATACCAAATCGGTTTCACCAGAAGCTACCGTCGTCAGACAATAAGGGAAAATTTGGGCAACCTCCAAGTATTGAAATTGATCGCTAGACTCATCCTTCAATAGGTTCCCGTCATCATCAGCACAAAATTCCGCATTCTCCTCGAAACGCTTTCTGGCTGCTGCTCTATCGAATTTGCGAGACACTACACAGCGGTGGCGGTCGCGTAGAAGACAAGTCTGCTGCCACGTTCCGATCTGTGTTGAGTTCTGTAGCGATGATAACGATATGGGCGTTGGCTGTGATGTCTTGACTGATGATACTCTAACTGCAATTGCGAATGAGCATATACTTACTAGAGGACCATTATATATATAAGAGATTAACGAACGGGGAAGGAGAAAATTTTCAACGATATACTCAGCAAACATTTCTAGGCTCTCGTGAAGCTTGTTTATTTGTTCTGGCTCCCATGAAGAAAATCCTTCGAAGAATTCCAAGGCGTGAGTAATATCAGAATCGAAGGCATGTCCTTCATCATCAAGCAGGTCCTTATGGATATACGAGAGGAAGAAAGTCACAAAGGTATCCGGCGATTTAACGTGCTCGAGAGCAGCCTGGATAAGTGACGCAGGCCGATAGCCCTTCCGAACGGTCTTCTCGGAGCCATAATGCCGTATAAGCCTGATCACTAGGTTCCTTGCCGACTTGTGCTGTTGTGATGTTAATGATAAGGGCATTGAGAAGTCTAAAGCCCCCTCTATGGAGGGATGGTGACGGTGAGTCGCCATCGCTAGAACCTTGCGAGCCTTAGGGTGAGGCGAGGAAGTAGAAAGCCAAAGCCAGAACCGGCGCAACGAAGTCACACAATTGAGAATATTGATACATCTTATATAGAATATAAAGACATCCAGTCTCTAATAATGTGTTTCATCTGAAATCTATCAAACTAACGAAGAAAAATGAGCCCAAGGTGGGCGCAGTGGAACAAAACGTGAAGTCTAGGGCGGTCGAGCTTCCCTCAAATTTCATTTCGCCAGGCCGAGATCTCCAACCACCAACTAACCAACTCAAAATGGCCGCACCAGTACCGCTAGATCGCATACCCCCCACGACGGCCGCCTATGTGATTGCAACAGCCATCATTGCAGGCGTGACCGGATATTTCATCGGCCAAGGCTCCTCAATCAGCCTCTTCAAAGAAAAGGAAGGGTGGCCAAACAGCTACGATGTGAAGGTCCACAGCCATTCCTCCGACGAGGAGGACGAATCAGACTCTGAAGAAGGAGAGACCGACGAGGAAGATGAGGGCAACGGCGAAGAACTGTCGAGCTTCAAGGACAACAGCGAGGAGGTGAAGCTGGTGCTCGTCGTTCGCATGGACCTAGGCATGACCAAAGGTATGTGTTCTTCGCGCAACGTTTCAATTATTCCTCACATTTGTGTTGCAAGCGCTTACAATCTCTTCCTTCTAGGCAAAATCGCCGCTCAATGCGGCCACGCTACCCTTGCTTGCTACAAATACTTCCTCGAATACGCACCTGAGTCGCCTATCCTCAGAAAATGGGAGCGCGGTGGCCAGGCCAAGATCGCATTGCAGGTTAAGTCCGAGGATGAGCTGCTAGTGATGCAGGCTCAGGCTATTAGCCTTGGACTTTGCGCGCGCGTTATTCAGGATGCTGGGCGCACTCAAATTGCAAGTGGCAGCAAGACCGTGCTGGGAATCTTGGGACCCAGGAGCGTGGTGGACGGGGTGACGGGACACTTGAAGCTGTTGTAAATGGTTACACATTATACATTTGCTCGTTTGGCATTTAGATAGGCAATGACGATCATGACCTCGACGACCAGGTTTCCGACGTTACCGTATCCATCGCGTTGAGCATGCGACACACGGTGATACATCACATGCGGACATAGTCGACATAATTGTAGCACGTTTCCTAGATACCCTAGTCGCGCAAAAAGGGGACCTCCTTTGAATCTAGGAGCTTTATAGTGGAATTACGAGTTCTATATAAGAGATGTTGGCAAGTCATGGTTATTCCCTAACCTCAGCGGCCAACGGCCAATCGGCAAAGAGATATGAAATATGACGCCGTCCGACACCAAGCTATCAAGCCGAGCTCACCAGTGGGAGCTCAAGACCCGCGTCACAAGGCGCAGACAATTATTCTGAGATCTGTCGACCGGAAACCGTAAAGGCCATCCACAAAAATGATGGCTCCAAGCTCGTCGAAATGCCCAGCTCTCAACCACCACACAGAAACCAGTCAGACTGGAGTCCATGGACAGGAAATCTAGGCACAGATCCGGTTTTGGTAAAGAAGAAAAAGAGGAAGGGAAAAGCGGAAAGGCTCTTATTTATGTCCCCAAGTGGGGCCGGTAAGATTTTATGGCGCTAGCCTAGATAGGGATAGTGCAATGTGACCACATCACGTGATCCGATTGCGGTTATCAGGAATCCAAACGGCGTTGCGCTGATAGCCATTAGTACCTTTCCATCCCTCCTTCACACACCGTCAAAATGGCGGACGCTCTATCCATCGAGCAAAACAACAAGATTCGAGTGGCTCTTGGCCTCAAGCCACTCCCAGTTCCTGGTGCCGGCCCAGAATTCAGAGAAGACGACGACAGCGAGTCCGGCGAGGAAGAAGACCCAGCCAGCACTCTCGAGTCGCGACAGGCGAAAAGTTATGAAAATTGGAAGAAGATCCAGGACACCACCGAAGCGAAACGGAAACGAGATGAGAAGAATGCCGCCATCAAGCGGGCGCGTGACATTGCCCAACGCAATATACAACTCCAAGGATCGACACTAGGCGAGGCGAATGGCGACGAACTCGATACCAAAGCCTGGCTGTCACAATCCAAAAAGCGCCAAAAGAAAATCGAGAAAGAACGCGCCCAGAGACTTGCCGAGGAACTCGAAGAGCGGGAGCGCCTTGCAGAAGCCGAGTACACTGCAGCGGATTTGGCTGGTATCAAGGTCGGACACTCTGCGGGTGCTTTCGATGGTGGTGAAGATCACATCCTGACGCTTAAGGACGCAGCGGTGGATGATGAGGAAGAGGACGATGAGCTCCAAAACCTCGATTTGGTCGAGAAGGAAAGAACCGAAGAGAGGCTGGAGCTTAAGAAGAAAAAGCCTGTCTACGATCCCACGGCGGAGAACCAGGGTCTCCTTTCACAATACGACGAGGAGATCGATGGCAAAAAGCGAAAGAGATTTACACTCGACGCCCAAGGCTCAACCGAAGAACGCGAAGCAAAGCGACAGGAAGTTTCCAACCAGTTGCGGAAGAACATTATCAGCCTCGACTTTGAACCGGAAGTGCCATCATCCGATTACATGGACATCAGCGAAGTCAAAATTAAGAAGCCTAAGAAGAAGAAGGCCAAAGCTACAAAACAGAGGACTTTGATGGACGAGGATGACGTTGCTCCGGTTGCGGATTCGACCGATACACAAGGATATTCAGCTATGGATATTGATTCGAAGGGTGGAGTCCCAGTCTCTGCTCCCCGCAAGGCCATAAACGAAGATGTTTCTTTCGTGGATGACGATGACCTTCAAGCCTCTCTTGCGTTGCAACGACGAGCAGCATTCAAGAAGCGCAAGAAGATCAGCCCTGAGGAGCTTGCTAAGCAGCTTCGAGAAGAGGAGACTCAGACCCCGATGGATATTGAAAATTCGGATAACGAGGGCGAGGGGCCTGGCCTTGTTATCGACGAAACCTCAGAATTTGTGGCAAATCTACACAAGCCTACACTTCTGGAGCAAGAAGAAAAACACGCTACAACCGCGGCCAAAGAGCGCGAAAGTTCCAACGCGGAGCCCGAAGGTGAGGGCGTCGAGATCGATATGGACCGTTACGGCGATATCGAAGACGAAGAGGAACTTGCTGCGCGCATCGAGCGCGATGAAGTATCTCCGGCCCAGCCACCACAACTTACCGGCACCGGCCTAGAAGAGGAATCAACTCTAGACCATGGTCTTGCTGCTACTCTATCAATGTTGAAATCGCGCGGTCTCGTCAAAGACAACGACAGCACCAGCCAAAACGCTCTCATGCGTGATCGCCAGCGTTTCTTGGCCGACAAGTCGAACCGCGAGTCCGAAATCGAGCGACGCGCCCGACAGCAGCGTGAGCGGGACCGTACCTCTGGTAAGCTTGATCGCATGTCAGCCCGCGAGCGCGAGGAGCACGCGCGCTGGGAGAACAAGCATCGTGACCAGCAGGAAGCACGTCATATCGCCGAGGTATTCAACCGCGAATACAAGCCCGACGTGCAACTGCGGTATGTGGATGAGTTCGGTCGCAACATGAACCAGAAGGAAGCATTCAAGCAACTTAGTCACCAGTTCCACGGCAAGGGCAGTGGAAAGATGAAGACCGAGAAGCGCCTCAAGAAGATCGACGAAGAGAAGAAGCGCGAGTCTATGAGCACGCTGGACAGCAGCCAGAACACTGGCATGAACACTGCTGTGGGCACTGCTGCGCGCAAGAATCGCCAGGCTGGGGTTCGCCTGGGCTGATGCTTTTTCTTTCTTCCCAATAGCCAAATACCAATTTACGATATCCAAAGTCTAGCCCAAAAGTCCTTCCGAAGCTCCGTAGATCCGCAGATATATTTAGATAGTTATATTTAGGCCTGATCAGTTAGACGATCAGGCAACGTTGCTGTAGGGAGAAGACGGATGTCACCAAGTTCAATCTTATGTATCCGACTTCGTACATATGGGATTGACATACAGGTATTTAACCCAGTTGTCCCTATACAACCTTAGAAAATAATCAAGGTGGTCGGAATGTCAGACACGAGGAAAAATGGAGAATTCCTTCTCCAACTGTGAGGGGAAAAACGGTGTAGATCCAGACAGATCAGTTCACCGGAGATTCGACTTGCCGACAACTGTAGAAATGGGCTGATGTTGCTATACATGCGCGAATGGATATATATAAGGAGCGCACGAATGAATCCAGCCAATGAATCATATCCTAAACCCTAGATATCATTACAATTCCCTCATCTCTAGCAACTAAATCATAGAGAACAACAAATATTTAGCCGGAGGATTGCTGCAAATTCCGATTGGTTGTACCTGGTACCTCCACCCAGGCGGAGATGCATACCAACTCGCAGGTACCCGATACCGCCATCACATGAGTCAGGGCAAAAACATCGGGACTACGTCTCCGGTCCTTTATATTCCTTCGCTCTCCCGATCCTTCCCTTCCTCCTTCCAATCCCAAATCCAGGAGGTCCAGGTCTTGCCCTTTCGATTTTCTTCGTCTACTCTGCCATTATGCTTTCCACTTTCAGAGTCGCCAGCCGGTCGGCTGCCCCCCGTGGGGTCAACTTGCGCACCGTCTTGATCGGAGCTAGAAACGCATCGGCCTGGGCCAATGTTCCCCAGGGTCCTCCTGTAAGCTTTGTGCTTGCAACCACCGTAATCGTGGTTTGAAAGGCCAATTCTAACGTAGCTCGGTTAATAGGACGCCATTCTCGGTATCACCGAAGCTTTCAAGGCCGACTCCTTCAAGGAGAAGATCAACCTCGGTGTGGGTGCCTACCGTAAGCCTCGTCCCGAATAATCGTGTCGCGTAATGGATTGCTGACGAGTCATTCCGCTGTTTTAGGTGACGACAAGGGCAAGCCTTACGTCCTGCCCTCTGTCCGTGCCGCTGAGGACAAGGTCGTCGCAGACCGTATGGACAAGGAGTACGCTGGCATCACCGGTGTTCCCAGTTTCACTACGGCCGCCGCGGAGCTCGCCTACGGCGCTGACTCCTCCGCCATCAAGGACAACCGCCTCGTCATCACTCAGACTATCTCCGGCACCGGTGCCCTGCGCATTGGCGGTGCTTTCCTCCAGCGGTTCTACCCCGGCGCGAAGAAGATCTACATCCCCAACCCCAGCTGGGCTAACCACAAGGCTGTCTTCTCCGACTCCGGTCTCGAGGTCGCCCAGTACAGCTACTACAACAAGGACACCATTGGCCTCGACTTCGAGGGTCTGATTGCCGATATCAAGGCCGCCCCCGAGGGCAGCATCATTCTGCTCCACGCTTGCGCTCACAACCCCACCGGTGTCGACCCTACCGAGGCGCAGTGGCGTCAGATCAGCGATGTCATGAAGCAGAAGGGTCACTTCGCCTTCTTCGACATGGCCTACCAGGGCTTTGCCAGCGGCAACGCCGACAAGGATGCCTTTGCTCCCCGCCACTTCGTCAAGGAGGGCCACAACATCGCTCTTTGCCAGAGTTTCGCCAAGAACATGGGTCTGTACGGCGAGCGTGTCGGTGCTTTCTCCCTCGTTTGCGAGAACGCCGAGGAGAAGAAGCGTGTCGATTCGCAGATCAAGATCCTCATTCGTCCCTTCTACTCCAACCCTCCCGTCCACGGCGCCCGTGTCGCCTCCACCATTATGAATGACCCTGCTCTTAACAAGCAGTGGCTCGGTGAGGTCGAGGGCATGGCTAGCCGCATCATTGAGATGCGCGCTCTTCTCCGCACCAACCTTGAGAAGCTCGGCAGCAAGCACGACTGGTCCCACATCACCAGCCAGGTGAGATCTCACAACTCGATTTCCTAAGTATGATCCAAATGACTAACATGATATTCCAGATCGGCATGTTCGCCTACACTGGCTTGAAGCCCGAGCAGATGGACACCCTTGCTAAGGAGGTAAGATTTATACCCGCATACTTTCTCTAGTCTGATCGCTAACGACTCCCCTAGCACTCTGTCTACGCTACCAAGGACGGCCGTATCTCCGTCGCTGGTATCACCACCGGAAACGTCAAGAGACTCGCCGAGTCTATCTTCAAGGTTACTGGTTAAATGCAAAACCGCTTGAAAAGAAATCTTGAAGGATATACGATAAAAAATGAATGTTAGGGGAGTGAGAGAAACCGGGCCTGGGTTTCGTTTTAAAATCTCGGTCCTCTTGTACTGATATCTAATGTCTCTGTTTCAAATTAGCATTGTTCGGCTCTGTCCGTCTTAACGGGGATTTTGGATTCGTTTTCTACATTGTTCTTTTCTTGTTCTTGTGGAAAATACTCTGTAAACTCATGTAGTCCATTGCTCTCTCATCGGCATTATAACTTTGGATTTATGCCCTGATTAGGCTTACAGCCCGTAATGAATTATGTACCTATGTTGTAGATGAGAATCTTGATATGCTAACTATATGGGGTTAGTCCTGGTGAAATTTAGCCCTAAGCCCTAGTTCGCTCGATGGGGCCGTGCCACCGCGTGACTTATGTACATAGTCACCCCACAAAATATTTGAACATTCTATTGATAGTTCACCCGTTACTTTTTTCTCAGCCAATCAATTTCTTCCGCATCCATACCACAATGGCCCCAAAAAGAAAAAGATCGACGTTACCATCCAAACTCCGACGATACGATTGGCACGGCATCGGGACCCTGGTCCGAGCGCATCACGGCTAGACCAGCGAGGCTTATCCACAATGTCCACTGAGTTGGCGGACGATTGGTCGACTCTAGCAGCAAAAGCGCAGGCACGGATTTCTCAATACAAACCTCAGCAGCATCAGCAACACGCAAATTTCCTCCCCGTGTCCCTAAATGCATTTATTACCTGGCTACCTGAAGGTGGGCGTGAATGTCTGGCTAGGGACATCATAGGTTCAAAATCCGACAACGAACTTTATGATATCTTTAGCAATTTGCTTACAGGTCCTGCTACACCGAGTGAGTCTAGGAAATACTTGTCTAGAGTAACATCGAGCACTAATCAATCCTCGGGATTAGTGAGAGCACGTTCAAAGCCACCATCAGTCAGCCCCTCCCCGCACGCAAAACGCGAGGCGCATGTTGAGGCTGTAGCAGCCACGCTTACCCAACCAGAAAAGCGAACGTCACAGTTCAAGGAACTCTGTCTCAAACGCGATGATAATCATTGCGTGATCACTGGCGAACTAGACATTGAATACTGGGAGGAGCTTAACCGCCCAGAGGAACCCTATTTCGGACGGACCGAAGGCGCGCATATCATTCCGTTTTGCTATGCATCATGGGAAAGCGCCGAGGTATTATACCTGCAGTGAATAAATGATTATATACAAATGAAATGATAGGATGCACCAAGTGGAACCTGCCAGCAATGGGAGGTTTTATACCGCTGCTTTCCCCTTGTCAGACAAGTCCAAGAAGGAATCGGTACTGAAACAATCAATGATACCTCAAATGGGATGACCCTACGCGCGAACATCCATGTCGAGTTTGGGAGATTTACCATCGCATTAAAGCCAACTGTAAGTAGCCAATGGCATATCGTATGTATTACGGTCTGATCTCACTGACATACAAATGCGGCATTAAAACCAAGAGAATGTGTACGAGGTCAAGACTTTCCCGCGCTTTCCCAAATGGGATATTTCAGCACTGCCCACAAGTAGCACCATCCACTTGACGCAAGCCGATGATGCGCAGGACGTAGCCCTGCCTAAGGCAGCTCTCTTAGACTGCCATTACCGACTTTCTGAGATTCTAAATGCTTCGGGGATGGGACATGTTATTGATCGTTATCTCAGAGACTGGGAGGACATCAAGTGCGAGGCCCCAAAAACCCTCGATGAGGCTGGTCGAACAAATGTCAACGCATTTCTGCAGGCTGGTTTGTGGGAGCATGCTCTTGCTTGAAATGACAATCCTCGTGCCTTCTTATTCATTAAAGCCAATGATAGCTTCCCGCACTCATAGGCCATCCATGTCGATGTAGAGATCACCTTTGTCAAGGATAGAGGATGTGTGAGTGACTAGCTTTACTTGACCAAATTTTGGATGGAATAGTACCCCTCCAAGGTCTAAAACTAGGTTGATAGGACCAATCGTAACTGGCGTGGATCGAGACATCTCCTGAATAATAACCTCGTGGGAAGAAAAGGATATATATATAGTCTTAGACAAAAAAAACACATTGCCGGGCATGTTATTACCATCTCTATATAACTATACTTTCAGCGAGATCAAGTACCTTAATCTCTTTCCTATTCCAAGATTTGTTCTAGGAGTTGAGTAAATATCTACAAGACATGGATGAACTAACTAAGCCAAATGCGTACAAGGACTGTATGCAGCCAACGCTCCACAGTGAATCAATACAGCCTAGACCGCGCCGATGAGTCTGTACGACACATAATGTGCTGGCAGCAGCCCCCCTCCGCCCTACGTTGCATCTACACACCGTTCTTTCCACGTCGTCTCACTGGTTAATAAATGAATTGCCAAGACTCAATGTACTCCAGCTATAGAGCTTGTAACAGTCATACCCACCTTGATGCAAATCGGGCCTGAGTTAAGCAAGGATCTACAACGCTGCGGCTAGGCTCAATGAGTAGCTTGGACGACCTCGGATGTCCACGGATATGACACGCCTTTACTCGATCCAAACTCCAAAGTGGCTTAGAAAGAGCACCTAGCGTCATATGACGGGGCAATATTAGCTACATGCCTGGGCAGTTAGAGTAGTATATGAAGACCGAGAATGTGGAGTGTAGTGTTGCTAAAATGGTAGGCAGAGGAACAAATTCAAAAAGGAAACATGTATTAAGAATCTGTCAGTTTTGGGGTAATATGCAATCGAAGAGAAATTTTGTCCAGCGACCCCTTCCGCAACACCAAGTGCGCCATAACATCCACATTTTAGAAAGCCAAATGAATCAATATCCTATCATTCCGCTGACGCCCATATCCGATCCAGCGCCTGGAGGTCCGAGAGAGGGACAGATGCAGCCTGGAGGTGCATTGGCGGCAGAGTATGGGTACCACTCCGGGGATGGAGAAGGGGCGACAGATCGGCCCATGACACGGGCTAAGATATTAGCAGGTGAACGGGCAGACCCTTGGCTTGAATTGAGAAGAGCGAAGCGGAGGAAGACCTCGGAGGTTGTAACAATGATTGAAATGACGATGAGGACAATGATAATCCAGGTTTGGTCTAGAGTGAGGTTAGTTGGGAGGCTGGGGAGCGAAAAGAGAAGGTTAGACATACGGGAAGTGCGGTTGTCGGCAATCGAGTCGGACAAGATTTCTGCAAGATCGAGGAATACGCGACATCTCTCGTTGAGGACCTGGATGCGTGGTTTGATCTCCAAATACTCGCGCACGGCGAGGTAGAGCGGGTAAAGGGTTGGCTCGCTCTCCCAGAAGAAGTTGGGGACGTCGAGCATATTAGAAGCTAGTGGAGAATGTTAGTAGGGAACAAAGTCTCTTATCTGCAGCATAGCTTGCAAGACGACCCATAAAGGGGGTTAGGAACTTACAAAGGTTGACCTCGACACGACTCTTGAACAATCGACCCAAGATCCGGAAGACTTCTTCGCGCTTCATGCCCAGTTGGCCTGAAACTGCAAGACGTGTGGGAACGTCTTTAGCATCCGCCATCTGTCGGGCCATGACTTCCTCGAAGAAGCAGAGTTTAGTGCTCTGTGCAATACCATGGCTAATAGCGAGCTTGATCATGTGGTCGCCACTGCGAAGAGTAATCATATCGTTATAGACTCGCGGGCGCGAGATCTCAGTCGAATACTCGAAATGGAACTCCTCTGTCTCAAAGTCCTCCTCATCAAGAGGCATCGTCGCTAGAGGGATAGGGATACCAGTTGCAGATGATGTTGCAAATGCCAGATCGGCCAGCAGGTCTTTCTCTTGTCGCTCGGTGAAGTTCCAGAAGACGACAACGCCGTAACTGAAAACGAACATTTCAGCCACATTGTATAACGTCCGAGCTGGGGCTTGCGGTGTTGAGGACGAGGAGGATGTAGGGGCTGGCAGAGAAGGACGGTCTCGAATAAAAGTGTGGGTATCATCCGTGCTGTGTCTTCGGCGGCGAAGTGCAGGTTCAGGCGAAGATTGCCCAGTCCCTTGGTTGCTGTCTGGTTGCGGGAGTGGCGAGATATGCTGCAACCCATCGACACTAGAGCCGGAGCTGGTAGCTTGTTCATGGTCATCAAGGAGGTGGCCACGAATTTCTTCACTGTCACCATTCAAGAATTCCGCATGATTTCCCTCCTGGGAATCATGACCCTCAGGCTGTGGCGGCGCTTCATAATGGTGCTCATCCTCTGGACGATTGTGTCCACCAACCGAATGCTCCTCCGTCTCAAGCATATATTCATCATGATGATCACGAAGTTCATTCCGTTCAATCTCCTCATCCAACAAGGATTTTCCACCGGGGTATTTCAGCACAGGGCTACTCCGCAGACGATACCCCTCATGGCCCGGCAAAAGAGGGAGGTGATACGCGGTGTAGAGACAATCATCATAGAGCTTTGTCCGTCCACCATGCTGCTCCTTAACAAAAGTAGCAAGCGACCCCATCTTATACGCCTGGGCTGTACAGTACGCCGTAACACGCGCAAGCTTTTCCGTCCGGCGCGCCTTTGGCAACCGCTCCGCATAACTCTTCGCGCGCTCAGGAGCAATACGGCGTTTCTTCATGACTTCTTCCTCATCCAGCAGGGGTGCAAAATCATTATCAATGCCGAAATCACCCCCAAGTCGCTTCGACACAAGCAATTGGCGTCTGATCCTTTCCGGGTCGATATTTTTCTCCTTGGCTAGACGCGCGACAAGCTCCTCGTCCACGAGGTCGGCACCATCGGAGTCATCGTCTTCTTCAATTTCGCCCTCCTCCAGTTCGCCGGTGTCAGGCAGAAGAACCAGCTTTTCACTGACTTTCGTTGTTCGAGGCGGGAGTCGCGGTTGCGCAGCGAGTCGGCCCATCGTGCCGCCGGATCCTGCTACTGCGCTGCTGCCTGAGCTGGTTATCAAGCCTCCAGATGCGGAGGCAAGACGGCGTGCCCGTGAGATTGGTGGTGGGCCGCGCTGCTGCATTGAAGGGACGTCAGAGGCGTATTGGAGGACGTTGTCGACGGTGATGAACCGGGTTGCGGGCGAGCGGCGTCGTCGCGGTATCTGGGGCTGTTGCTGGTCTCTTGAATCTGTGACCTGTATTAAAAATATGTGTTAGTTGAGCTTGGTTGTACGGTTGATTTGATAGTCAATCCTACCAAGACGGTTGGGCTGCGCTGGCTAGTCCCTCGTCCTCGGGCCGGCGGAGTCATTGTCAAACGAGCTTAGAATAAGCGCTTGAGTATGTTTGTTTGTAATTATTTGCCGGCACTTTCCAACATAGAAGAGATAATTGACCGTGTATGTATCAATTGCTATGTCTGATGCTCCGAGCCAGCAAGTTCGAATGGCCTCGAGACTAAACCCAACTGGGAATAGTTCATTGAGCGACCAAATGACGTCTACTCTTACAATCACGTGCATCTGATTCACTAGGTAATCCCGTGACACTGCCACGTGCTACACCGCTCAATGGAACAGGGCCCACAATACCTCGTTGGGACTAGCAGATTGCAGATGGCGTTTTGGTCGATCTGGGGTAAAGTGAAGATCGGCCGGAAGCTGGTTCCAGTGCTTGTTGACTACAAAATGAGGTGAGACTGAGGTATTGATATTTTGTCTATTGTGAGGTCTCATTGGTTTCAGAGGTCAATATGGCTTTCGACTAATTGTTTGTGCTGATTGGTGGCCTAGCTATCCGAAAGCAAAGTGCTAGAACATGGAAGGAAAATGGGTCATAATAATATGAATTGCTATGGTAACGATGAGAAATATGAGAGATAAACATACAAACGCCGTGCTGTCGGTTCATTTGGCACCCTTCCGAGGGCGAACTGGTCATGCAGATGGGATAGAAGAGAATAACGAAATTAAATTACGAATGAAGGCCATCACGAAGCTGCCGATCTTCGTCCCAGATTTCCTTCTTCATGCGCTGTAGATGAATGTGCTGCTTTTGCAGCTTGTCGAGGTCGACCTGAGGTGGATTGGGGAGCGCTGCAAGGGAGTCATGTAGGTTGCGGTACTTTGTGTAAAAGTTCTTGAATTTCTGAGATTTCTCCCGCAGCTGCTGTCTCAGAATTTCATAGCTCATTGGTGGAGATGCACTACCTGTGCTGCCACCGCTGGAGGAGCTCACCGCTCGGCGACGCTTAGCTTCCAAGTTTCCAGTAGGACGTCCCGCCTGGGGCGCGGACAATTGATCAGATTCGGCCTTGCGCTTCAATGGGTTTGTGGTAGTGGAGGTAGCCTTCGCGATGCCGTTGGTCTGTGGAGTAGCTCTGGCAGGTTTGGCTGCGGCAGGGGCTGCACGGCCCACTTTGGGTTTGGCCAGCTGGGTGATGAGAGGCGAAGATGAAGATGAACCGGAGGATTGGTTCTGGCTGTCCGCTCGGCTGCGGTTGCTACTGGTAGAGTCGGACACGTTGGAAGGAGGGGAGGAGCCGAGTGGAGACGGCTTCTGCGGTGAAGTCGAGGGCCGAGAGGGAGGACGCTTGGAACCTGTAACCTTGGTGGCCGGTTTGGATGGTTCAAGCTTAGGTTTCGATGTCTCGGGTTTATTCTTGGAAGCAGGAGCAGGACTAGATGAGACTGAGGGAGTATCGGTGGTGCGAGCCTTGGCCGGTGCCTTGATTTTCGGTACTGGGGGCTTCGAATTGGATGGAGTCCGCTTGTGTTCCTTCGGTTGCTGCTTGGGTGCAGGCGCGGGAGCGGGGGCGGGGGCAGGGGAAATATCTTGCATGTCGGTATCATCATCTTCGTCCGAACTGTGTACGAATTCTGCGGACTTGATCTTGCTGTCCACTTTGACTGGGGCCTTCCCACCAGTCTTCTTCGTAACCCGTCCGGTGAGGGTACTGTTGGTATTCTTGGGTTTGGTAGACCGCTTGGTCGGGTCCTTGTCGCGGGCCTTTTGTGAGGCCGAAGCAGTCTTGGGAGCAGGCGCGGATCCTTTTGTAGCGCGGTCGGTCTCATTGTCCTTGCCCGAATCTTCCCCATTGGCTTTGGCGGATGGTGCGGCAGGTTTCTGGGGTGGACCAGTACGAAGGTTCAAACGCGAAAGGCACTTACCCTTGCCTCGTTCAGCCTTTGGAAGAAGTGTTTGCCAAAGTTTGTCGGACCGAGAGATGCGCATGCGATCGAAGGCAGAGATAGAATTCTCAATGGCCTCTTTCCGGTCCTCCTCGGTGTAATTGAAACCGAACACATCAAGATCCTTGTAAACTTTGTCCTTGAGATCATATTTCTCGGGGTTGATTCGGTTCAGAACTCCGAATTTCTCGCCGAGGGCGGTGCAATCGTCGACGGTGGTGCGGGTTTGGCGGGCAAGGAACTTGGCCGAGACGGCACGGACAGCGAGAAGGTGAATGAAGGGAACCTTGAGGGCTTCAAGCCTCGCATGGTCTTTATTCTCCATCATTGGAGCCGATGTTGGAGTCATTGCAAAAGAAGGAGACTTGGGAGCACCCAAGATAGGACTAGCAGTGAGGGAACGATTGGCAGCAGTCTTGAGGAAACGATCTTTCTCGAGCTCAATTTTGGTGGTGGGACCTTTGTAGCCTGACTTGCTGCCCCGAAGAGCCTTCAACTCATCAGGGTGTGAGATGATGTGAGTCTTCTTCGACTCCTTTCCCCGCTCATGGGCATTCAATTTTTCCTCCAAATCTGCCAGCGCCTGATCGGTGGCCGCAGTGGCATTTTTAGCCTTTTCCACCTCGAGGCTATGGCTCAACACCCCGGTGAAGTACAGTGTCTCTTTATCGGATGAGCTGTGGTAGATCTCGGATCGGTGCGTTTCGGGGTAGGCATGGAACATTTGAGATTTGCCTCCGTAGTGAAGTGACGGGTGTTTTCCCAGCCGGACTCGAGCCGGTTGATCCTTCCGTAGGCTCTGGATCAGATCATCGAGGGTGCTCTGCACCAAATTCAATCGCATGATCTGATTTGGCTTGACAGAAGGATCACCGGACTCATCTCCGAGGTGGAGAGACAGCCCGGTCGGGGGAATATTCAGACTGGTCGACATTATGGGAGTGGAGGAGAGGTCAGGGTAGGGAGGAAGGGAGAGGGATTCGAGATTGTGAGCAGGGTCGGATGGCAGCGTGAGAGCTGCAGGTCAGGCGGCCAACTGCACGAGGGAATGAGGTAAAACCATACGCCATAAGATCGGCGTTGAAAATATGGAATAAGAGGAATCAATGCAGAATGTAAGATGCAAATGGTATAGACAGAGAAGTGAAGAAGAAGAAAGATGAGGAGAAGGGCAGAAAGGCCAAGAGCAAGGCGAAGCGTCGGAGAGAGAGTGGGGAGAGCTGACGGCGATTCCTTGTAAAATTACAGGGGATTTTCCCGATTTTCCTTTTTCTTTTTCTTTAATTAATTGTCCATGTACGGAGTATTCTCCTATAAGGAAGTACGAAGTACGAATGTGCAAATGTGCTTATGCTAGTATGTATAGTATTTAAGAATTGAACATATCTTACTCCGTACTCCTAATGCTCTATTTCCTCCAGTCCACTCTGTTTGATACTGTATCGGCCTTTGTTCTGACTCCAAGTCCAACTTGTAAACTTCTTTTCTTCCTTTTTCCTTCTTTCCCCTTTGTTCTCCGAAACCCACAACTACATAAGTACCTACTTATATCCTACAACTTATATATAGTCAACTACAATATACACTCAACTACTCCGTAGACTTGGCCTACACCTGTATACCCAATCGTACCAAGCGCAGCCGACTACTCACAATCTAGCCATTTACTATTACAATACAATTACCGTGAGGAGAAAAAAAGCGATGCTCCATCACGGGGCTTCCCGAGTCCAGTCTTGTTTACCGATGCGGGTGCGGTCGGGTCTCATTTGACTTCAATATAGATTAAAGGTTCGTAACTACGTTTTGTTAAAGAACTCTGACAGCATGTCTGCTCTAACGGCGAGGGTTGATTCAACAGAGCACAGCTGAAACCAAAACCCTGGGAGAAAAACATTCCATTCTTTCTCCAAAAATCACCCGGGGGTACTCATCATTTCCCCGAGATACCTCAGGAATGCCACAACTTGGTTTGCCCCTCGTTCATATGCACCCAGGCACGGATAGCCAACCCGAAAGGTCCCAGTTCAAGTGTGTTACCATTCAGTGTTTCGCCCTACATCGGACTAGTGGGCTTGCTACGGACTCTTACTCCTTTCGATAGGCTAACGAGAAACGGGGCCAATTCCTCGTACCACATGTTATCGGGCTCCTATTCTGGCTACGGGGTACTTTTAGCCTTTCTTGCATTCGACTATGAGATGACCCGGGCCCGAACGTTGCAAATCACCATAGAGTGGTCGTCTCCATGGCCATCCCCCAGGCTATAGAGTGAATGCCACCTTGAGTTCCTCTTCCTTATTGGATCTCGAGTTTCACAGCTGCATGGAAGGTCCATTTATGCATCCCAATGGAGCAATGGAGAGCAAGCCACTAGGCTCCGGGGTGTATATTGTACTCCGTATTACGCCCTTCTTATTTTTTATTCCTTTTTTATTCCTTATCCTTTTACTCTTTCTGTTCCTTTGCAGCTTCGCCCCCATGTTGGGTGCTGGACTGGTCAATTCGAGTCGATCCCAATCAACCCAAATTAAATGACAGTGGCAAACCCGAATAAGATCAAGTTACAGTTACATCGCGAGTTCAGTATAAGCAGTGTAAGCAGTGTACACAAATGACCTGCATGGTCTACTCAAGCTGGGCAAGTGTAATTCTTCATAAGCCGGAGAGGGGAATACCGTGGATCCCTTGCGCCATCCGGCTTATTCTCCAACTGTCTAGTCTGAGACAAGGGGAAATAATAACCATTGCCCATTGTTTGCCTTGCTCGATCTGCGTAGATCCGTGCAGAACTGTCGGCTCCGATAATCCTCTTCGTCATCATTTCTACCTCGTATTCAATGGCTCAGGACATTATCAAACTTTGAAGTTGATAATCGGATTAAGAACTCTATGAATTTGGAATAAATCTACAAATCTCAATAGTCCAATTCTGCACCCCAAATTAACCCAAAATTAACCCATCCCAGAACGACATCGCCAAACTTCCGCAGCCTCATCCTAACAGCCTCATCCCAACAGCCTCCATGATTGCCTCACTACCAACACCCCCCGCGATCGCAACAGGGTCCTATGGGATCGCCGCCGTGATCGGCGCCGACGATAACGCCCTAACAAAACCCCAAGATCTGACCGCGATAGCCGCAATCGCCGTTCGCGCTATGAACCCTACCAAGCCACTGACCGTCGGCATGCAAAATGGACACGGTGATGTCTCCGAGTTGGCAGATATCATTACGCAGGTAATCGCTATAGGTGCTGTAAGGTATAATCTGGAAGATATAGACGCGACTGGCGTGCTGCGATCGGTAGATGAGGCTACGGCATGGGTTGGGGTGGTTATTTGTTGTTCAGGCGGCAGAAAGGCTGGGGTTCCTGACTCTGTTCCCTAAAGGGTATGCAAGGATTAGTATTGGGCCGGAGTTGCGGCGAACTGCTATGAAGACGTTTACTGAGCGGGCCGAGGTGTCGGCCTTGTGAGTACATACGTTGTTCTTGCCTACACAAATACATGGATATATTACGCTTGACTCATAGGTTAGGCATTCAAACTCATGCGGCCTAAAATAAACCGTCGAGCCTTAATTCAATATAACATTGGAAGCCATTAACTGATTCCGAGTATACTTGCTGTCGGCATCGGCGATTCTGAATCATCAAGTCCGGCTACAAATCCCATTGGTGCAGGTATTCCCATAACAGCAGTGTTCGTCGACAACGCAAGGCCCATTGTCCTCGCTACAAGACGGCCACCCATCATCTGTCGATCGGCATTTGTTGGCAGCGCAGTAGCCCGAGCAGCATTGGTTGTTCGGGGTGCCGAACTCACAGGATGCTAGTATTAATTAGAGGTACGTTCAACGTTGTGATTGGATGTGGTCTCTCATTCTTACAGTAGACTCCCGCGCAAGTGGGTGTTGGGACACAGGTTGTGATAGTCGTTGTGGAGGGTGAGACAAAGGTTGCTGTTGTGCATGTCTCGGTGAGAACGCAAGCCGGGGCACTACCACATCCTCCTGCTGGACAAGCTGCTGCTTCTATTTTGAGGGAAGGTGTGGTTAGTAGGGTGGGGGCCAATGTAGGTGTTTGTTGGGATACATACGGCTCAGGGCGAGGTGAGCAAGGGTAAGAATAAAAGCCTTCCAGAGATGCATCTTCCTGGCGTAGATATTTAGGTCTTAGTTATGCGAGAACAGAGTGTGCTCAGTTGATTAGAGAAGTTATTCAGTAAGACCTTCTGTCGGTGTCTATATATACATCACACACCAAGACATACAAATGCGTCAACTCTAGGGCAAACCGTGGAACACACGGCCAGATGACCTGATACGAAGCCATCTACACCGGTTTATAGTGATGTTTCAAGCTCAGACCATTAATCACTACCCCAGATTTTCTATTTCTGCCGTGGTCGATGTCTCTCCCAACGTCATATCAATACGAGGGTCAACACGAGGGGTTCATTAAACTCAGATTCAATTGGCCTTCATGTGAGACAATATCCATCATTCAAGACTATGCTTCATTGGGTTTTGCTACTGTGTATAGCAACGTGATAATTATGATGTTGCTGGATAAAATTGCCGACTGGCAGAATAATGCTTGGAATTGATCACCTTTTTCTCTCGTATCAGATCATGAATAAATAAATAAATAAATAAATCTCAAAACACATGTCAGTATACGGCACATGACACCAAGTCTAAAATTAGCCCGTATAGAGAAGAAATAAACGGCAAGAATTCTTCACTATATGACTCGCCAGCCTCTATCGTATGAACGAGTTGGTGCGACTTGGGACTCTGCCCCGTTCGAAGCTGCAAGAAATATGTTCAAATATTCAAATCATCCTCTGGGTCAATCACTGAGCTGCATATCTAACATTTAGAACATCGGCGCAACGATGCAGTAGTCAGCTGCAGCTTCCTTGATTTTTGACTGGCACATGACATGGTGATTTTTGTTTGCTCATATATTATTGTAGCTTGGCTATACCAGAGATCGGCAGGACAGAGAGAATACTATCCCAAAGCATAAACCTACATATTACCTTATATAGACGCTAAGATCGTTCATGGAGATGGAATGTTACTGGAGAAACTATCTTTCTCGGTTGTTCTCAGTACATCATCAACATGGCCGCCCAATCAGCCCCATTTTCCAACAGTAGCTGTTGCACAGCAGGTGAAGCATATTTCCAAGCGAAGTAAAGTGGTGTTTGCCTCTTCCAATCCATAGCATTCACATCCGCGCCACGTCCGATAAGTCACCTCACGATTTCTTCTGCGGTTCCGTCGCGATCTCCCTGGCGTCGGCAAATACGCTGCGACATGTGGTGCACTAGATACCGGTGGACAATGGAAAACCGGTGCACTCGGGCCACGGCTGCAGATGGTGCTCAACCCTATGTTTGGAGTGGGAATCCCTATGTTTGGAGTGAAATGCCTTAATAGAGGCGAACAGCGCGGTGCAAAATAGTGCATCCCTTAGAATCCCTTCGATTGCGATCAAATCCATGGTCAAGAAGCAGCTCCAATATATCGCAATCATTAGACTTTACCGCGCATATTAAGGATTCGAAATTAACCACAGCTCCATGATCTAGAAGCAGACGGACTGTCTCGAGAGTGTATCCCTTTACAGCCGAATAGAACAAGCTCTCGTGATAGTTTGCTCCATGCTTCAAAAGCACATCAACTGTTTCGATAGTTCCATTTTCCATTGCTGTGCGTAGCAATTTCCCTTTGTGATCATCAACCAAGGCAATGCTCGCTCCGTTATCGAGAAGGACTTCCACCATGGATGCATAGTTTGGCTCTCTGCGCACTGCCCAAAGTAACGGACATATTTCGTTGATTTTAGCGTTTACATCAACGCCGGATCTGATGAGAAGCTTCAGCATCGGCATTCGACCGCAAGCCACTGCACAATTGATCAATCCTCCGAATAACAGGTTGCATCCTTCTGTTTGAGCCCCCCATTCAAGAAGTATCCCGAGGGTACTCTCATGGCCTGCGAGAAGCGCACTAACCGCGGGATGGGTTGATGGGGTCCAGGTTTGCTCGCCCACACAGTCGTTCAATTGAGCCCCGTGATTCAGGAGCAGCCTTACTACAGCATCATTTCCAGCGCTCACGGCTATGCTCAGGGGTGTCTCTCTTTCGAAATCAGATGGAAGTTTAGGTGAAATGCGATATGGGGACCCAGGGGCCGGAAGAGGGGTCCGAGGTAGAGGCCCAAGAAACCGAGGTGGGAAGCGGCGAATCGGTTCTGGTTTTTTAACTGGCATGGATGGGACATCCACATAGGCCCCCCAGTAGAGGAAATGCCGCACGCCTCTTTCATTTTCCTTGGCAACACATTTAAGCCTTGGCTTTTCGAGCACTTCACATTTTGTTGATACAGACGGGCAAGAAGAAGGTCGTATAGGTGATAGTTCACCTGTAGTAGGTGCGAGAGATCCGCCTCGGATTTCAGATTCGTACTTATCAAGAGTAACAACTCATTGGGTAATTCAAGTAACGAAACCATAGGGTTGAAAAGTGATGTGCGATATCAAAGAGTACGAATTAGAAAGGACGTCAGTCCACTAGCGCGGGGCTGTGTACGGGCTAACACAAGAACTAAAAACAGCCAACAGCGCACAGCGCAGGTGCGTGATCGATTCAGAATTGGAGCGGCCCTAAATATTGATATCATTCATGTTGACTTACTTCAAATAGTGCAAGACGATGTTTTAGAACCTTGGAAGTAACCTCGACTTATAAAGATAGACACACCACATTTCTGCACCGCCATGGTGGTTGCTATTACACTAGATTACTGGCTTGGTATCGAGTGACAGGGTTTTCTAAGAAGTCAGTGTCTCCTCATCCTAGAATATTATAGTTCAGATCCGCGTTCTACGACTTTAGCGGAGAATATGTACCTTTTATACGGGAAACGCATACAAAAGATACCTCGAAATGTATGGTGTCTAACCCCTCCAGGCCTTCGGGAATTGGGGTCGCGAAGGCGAGCTGGGCTTTTCGACTAAATCCCAACTCCGCTCTGCCATCAATCGGGACCAAAGTTTGACATTCGGTTCTCATGGCTCCCCCTAATCCAGAGTGAGTGACCTCGAACATGTGCATCTATATACGACAATTAGCGGAGGCATTAAAGTCAACATACGAATTCTGTAATCCGCGAAGCTAACACAGACCACCAGCTTCCCCGCAGTCCGCGCCTGCATTTTCGACATGGACGGGCTCCTCATCAACTCTGAAGACATAATCAGTCTATCCACGAACCAACTGCTGGAAAGGTACGGAAGGCCTCCGTTGACTCCGTCGATTCGAGCCCAGCTCATGGGTGTCGCAGACTCGACAAATGGCGATATATTCCACCACTGGGCCAAGTTACCTATCTCCCGCGAGAAATTGCCCGTGAATCAAGCGAGGGCATGCGACTATTTTTCCCGGATTGCAGGCCGTTGCCTGGCGCGGAGAAGATTCTATCGAATCTAAGCCGTGCACGGAGTGCTTCGTCTGGGGACGTGATTCAGCTGGCTTTGGCTTCCAGCACCAAGACCCGTAGTTATGAGTTGAAAACTGCGGGGCCGGAATCGAAACTACTGTTGAGCTTCTTTCGGTCGGACAGGAGAATCCTGGGTGATGATCCACGAATGCGACGGGGTCGAGGGAAGCCAGCGCCCGATATTTATTTGCTCGCGTTGCAGTCTTTGAACTCGGGAATAGACTCTGAGGAAAAGGCTATCCTGCCCAATGAATGTTTAGTCTTCGAGGATAGCATCGCTGGTGTAGAGGCTGGGAGACGCGCTGGTATGAGAGTTGTTTGGGTACCGCATCCAGATGTGGCGGTCGAGTATCAGCCGATGCATAAAGATATCCTGGCTGGGAGATCAGGAAGATTTAAGGTCGGAGATGACTGGCAGCTAGGAGAGATTGATGATGGCTGGGCAGAAAGTATACCTAGTCTGGAAGACTTTGATTACGAGAAGTACGGCCTCGATGTGGCATTTTAAATATCGGAATGGAACAGTTCCAATTCAATCTGATATCTGTGTAACTGCAAGAATCTGTTCCCGCATATAAAAAGAAGAAGAAGATAAAAGAAAGGAAGAACAACGCTCATTAACGGGCCCAAAAAGCAACGATCTCGTCAAAGTCTTTCATCGTCAAGTTCTTCAAAAGTCGATCCTCCTCGGTGATCTCCTTCCTCAGGCGACAAGCAACTCTTAAGGCAATAGAAGCTTTTTGCATTTTGCCCATTGCCGCCAACAAGTTTCCCTTGAGGAAAGTAGTGCGAGCGATCTCGTTCTTATGTGCATTCGAATCAACCGACCAAATTCCTAACGCGTCGTTGATCATAGCCCTAAGTGAAGTCAGAAAAGTATCCAGCGACTTGGTGAAATGGCAGCACTAAATATCTCGCCTATAAGCCTCGTGCAGTTCAGATAATCGACTCCCCGACTTCCCCGATCCTGAGCTACCCGCTCATTTCATCCCTGACCGGAGGAATCTCGGTCCGGTGGACTCGGCTATATCTACCATTGGGGTTCGCATAGATAGATATCAATCAATTATCTTCCTCAGAGGACATCGCACTTTAGCACCAGGTTACTTAACTAAGTAAACCCTCAATATTGCCTGATACTCTGGACTGCTCTCTACGCATCGCCGCTCAACATAACACTATATGACGAGAGCTCTTAGGAACCAGAGCAGCTTCCTTAGGAGAACTGGGCCTTTCTCCCCAGCCTCCCTCTATTCTTAGGGCCGACTGTTCCAAAAGTTAGACGCTAGTTTTTTACTCATTCTCCCTCTACTATCCTTAAACTAGGCACTGACGATAGCGAAGGTAAGATAACTGCGCTTACCTATTCTATCCTAGGCCCCTATATCCTACACGTTATTTATATCGTTATACTTCCGAGAATAACCTCCGATACCTTGACGCCTAACTATACCTAACAGGGCCTTGTCCTTACTCGTCAGCTGGGCATACCGCTAGTCGAGCTCTGGCCCTTACTTATCCCTCTGAAGCGCTAGACTATTAAGGCAGAGCTCTGCCGTTTCCTTATATATATATATATATACTACTTCTCTTACTACAGCCGGCCTATACGGCAGCTATACCTCCTCTTCTCCGAATTCGGTATAGAGATGTATATATATTACGCCTCCTACTCAGAGTAGAATAACTCGCGTATCTATAGGCTATAGGCCTCTACCCCGGATACAGAACGTATACTCGCCCTTAAGCGAGTATAGCGTGATACTACCGGCGTAGGTGATTAGGACTGTCCTGTCCTCTTATATAGGGACTTATCTGACTGGAATATCCTTGTGGACCCCTGTATACTCGCGGTAACGGGTTTCCTGGACTAGGAGATGGCCAACATCATACCCGCGTACTTTGAGTACATCGCAGCACCTCTGTCTAGGGGCCATCAACCTAAGTGGAGGAGAGAACTGTTAGATATACTGAGGTCTATTCTGCGTTGCGAGTGCGATGCTGGGCGCTAGGAAGACCTGGATGCTATCAATGTCGATGATGGAGAGGAAAGATACAGGAGGACGTTGGCGGTATGGGATGCTGTCGTCGATGTTGAGAGAATCGCGCAGGGATACGACAATGACTGCGAATGGACTTTTGAAACCGGCCTACCAGATGTTTCACAAAAGACTGGTTCTGCCTTATAGTTCAATGAGTATGAGAAGCAGCAGCAAATACATAGGAGTAATTCAGACATTATAGAGTAGTATTACCTGATGCTTCTTGATGGATCTGATCAGGCTTCTGCTGACTGTCACACTTTCAGCAGCTGCTACAAGCCTTTCGCGACTTGATACGATTTTGTGGGAAAAAAAAAAAGCTTCGCTGCAGAGCTGGGGGCTGCTGGGGTATTACCAAATGCACATGATATGAGTCACACTCGTCCTCTTTTTTCAGAGGTAAGCAGGTTTGTGCCAAAACATGCCTCTGCGCACATGCAGCGGGCAGCCAGCACCATGGGTGTTAAGAAAAGAACAGCCCCTGCTACTCAAGCACATTATCACCTGGGCGCCACGAAACAGAGACAAGAGAAAGAGCCTGAGCCGATTAATCACACTGGAGATGCCGACATGGGAGATGCCCCAGAGGTCCGTGTGACTCCGAACGCAACTCCCCTCATCCCCATCAACCCCCATCAATCACCAACCCAGGCTGGACCAGAGCCATCAAAGCAAGATCAAGGCGACCCAACCCTGCCCCAGAAAACCAACATATAGGCGGCCAGTGCCTGGACGGGATACTCCCCGCCTCTCCGACCCATGAATTTTCCAAAACCCAGCTAAGTGTGGAGCTCCAAAGCCACATAACTGATGCAGTGGCATCTCGCACTGCTCAGATAAAGACTACAGGAGATGAATTCCTAGGGCTTGTCTCTGTGATTAGGCAAAGGATCGCTGAATAGGAAGAACGGAGCCACCAAGGAGCCGCCTCTTTGGGCAGGGACATTAGGACCCTGGTCATCAATTTCAGCAAAAACTTAGCAACCGAGCACCCTACTAAGGGAAAAGAGAATCACTTGCCCACACGCTCTGAATATCGCGGGGCTTGGAGGGTGGTTTCGTGGTGGCCTTGGTGGTTGTCTTGGGTTGGGGCTTGGGCGGCTCGTCATTTGTGTCATCGTCTGTTATTTCATCGTTGTCCACGGGCGGTTGCTGCGGTTGCTGCGGTTATTGCTTGTGAGGTAGTAGTGAGGAGGGACTTTTTGGTTCAGGGAGATCAGGAGTCGGTGATTTCGGGGTTGGTGGCTTCTGTTTCATCTGCTTCTTGCCCCCGATTGTACCAAGGCCTTCTGGTTACACTGATGCGGCTGCTTTCGGGTGTATTGCTGGGGATGGGTGATATTCCACCGTGGTTGCTTTTGCTGGTTTCTGCTTTGGCGGGCTTGCTTCTTCACTTCGTGTCAGGAAAAGGCCATGTCGCTGTACTACAACGCCACCTGCAAGTCAGTTCCGAACATCTGGCTGGTGGGGAACGCGGAAAGGGCCTGAGAGTGTGCAGGATGCATAATCCCACTGACAGGAAGGTCTGTTCCAGAAGGCGAAGACAGAGACTGAGGTCTGGCCCGCACAAGGAGGATTAGCTGCAGCATTCCGCACCCGACTATGTACTATAGATCCTCCACTCTGTGCCAGCTACGGGCTCAATCCCGGTCACTTGGGCATCTGTAGGCCTTTTCCAGTAGACCCATTGCGTCCCTTTTGTAGCACGAGATCCAGCCTCTCGCCACTTTTTTGACCAGGACATAGCCAGCCATGGTTGTTCAATTCCCCTGGCTCTCTTCCTAAGCTTACTATTTCAGTTTATAGTGACCGATCCTTTCTAGTCTCATAGTATTTATTCTGTTTTAACGTCATATTACAACATTTAATCGTGCTGTAACCAGATTTAGATTCATGCGCTCAATAAAGGCGCCGCGTTTAATGGAATTTTGGGAAAAGAAGGGTGGTTAACTTATAGTAGAATATTGATACCCCGGCCAATGATAGCACAGAATATAAGTAACTTATCTACACTTCTCAATTCGGTTTGATCTACGGAGTACTCCGTACGGAGTATTATAACAGGCGAGATTTTAAAGAAGCGGAGATCTAAGATAACCATCTGGGGCCCCACTTCCCTGAGTGCCTGAACTTTAGGGTGTCTGAACTTCACACGCAATATTAAGATTGATGCAGGTGCTCTACCCACTGCTACGACCGAAGAGACAAGTCTGAAGAAGCATTCTGTATTCGGGTTATGGGTGGACTGCTTGATGGGTCCAAGGACAACTTTGACGACCCTGCTCTTTGGTATGGAGCAACAAGGGCCTGAAGAATATGCAGCCGTGAAGACCATGGTTTCTACTTCTGCATGAACCGGATACAGCGGCAGCCCTCCAACTTGAACCGAGGCCCATCCGTTAGGACAGCCAAGGAGCAGAAAGACGAAGATTGGAAGGTTCATATCAACCCGAAGCGTGGTGTGAGCTTATGTAATGATCAGGTGATGCGAGGTGGGCGAGTTTGATGATTATGTAATACTCAGGGGCGTGCTCATTGGGCAAAAAGCGGCACGGGATGAGCACTGGAGCGGAAAGGCAAAGCCATCTAGGCCTAAACTCCGGTGTAAGTTGTATGTTGTATGTGGGATTAGCCCACCCACTCTAAAAGCGGTCAACATGATCACCATACCACTTCCTAATTAGTCGCGGCTTTGGATCCCTGTGGAGGGGAGCTAATCCCACCTTGGGACTTTTGTAGTTTCGGCAGCGGAAATATTCTTGGGTTCCATAAAACCCACTTGGACTAGTACATACAACATTGCCAGTAGAGTCCATTTCTCAACGTGTACTATCATAATTGTAGTCACACAGTCTCTAAAGAATCCTCCTAGACAAGGCGCCTGGAACCCTTGTAGTTAGTAGGCCTTCATTATCTGAACGTTAAGCGCGACGAACTACAGTACTACATTCTTCTAAAATATATATCTGAACCTCCATGTTTAAATAATTGATTCTTATCCCCGCCGCTATACCGTGAATTAAATAAGTAGAGATTCCAGTGAAGCCTTTCCTAGAGACGTAGTTGGAGATGACTATTGAATGATTAAATATGAAACTGTGATATACTAACTTGTATGTAGTTAACTCTACTAGAATATGCATGTCACGACGTGATAATTGAAATGATTTGGTAAATGCATTGGTAAATACAGAGTAACAGAGTCTAATATTGATAGTAATCACCCGAATCAAATTCCATCAAATAGAGCCAGATACGCAATTTTGAGTCTTCGGAAGGCAGCCGAGACTAGAACAAGAGATGGAGATTCAAGGACGTGTTGTTTTAGTCCACGTCGCCCGTATCCATCTACAACATACTCCGCGCGGAGTGCTATTTCCTTTATACCGAGTCGCCTCCTAGTGGAGCATGGGGCAACGCAATGCTTTAAGGTCATCTGCATTAGCTTCTACGCCACTCCGGTACGGAGGATTTGGGTGTCACCGGGATTTTCAGTCAAACTCCCACAGCAGGCTGAGACGAGCTAGTGTTGACTTATCTGTGACTATTTACCTTGGCGGGAGAGAAAGGCACATCAGTGGGCCAGTGCTCAATTTCCCCGGGAGAAAGGTGACATCAGAGTGGAATCTGCGACACAAGAGACAGAAAAATGGGCCTTTTGGTCATAGCGTTAGCGGCTGTTCCTGGATTTTGTGGATGTTTGGTATTTTCTTTTGGGTTACGTCGGTCGTACAACAAAATAGGGCGTGTCTGATCTTCCGAGGTCGATATGTATATGCATAGACCTAGTCACCCCCTAGGGACCCCGGGGAACCTTGGAAATGCCACCTAATTTGTCAGAAGCCAACCTGCCATAAAGCACACCAAAGTTGACCTGCACAAGACATGCTCCATCCTAGGGGCATACAGGCTGAAGGAAATGTTCTACTAATAGAAATATGGAGACTAGCGCGGACACGATACACCAAGACACGTCTCAGCCACAACCATGTGGGAATAGCCCCGTGTCCAGCCATCCAATGTGCGTCGGCCTGACCCGCCTTGGTTCGATTTTCTGTTTATTGGCGATTGCGTAAAATCAAGGAAGTCAACGGCGAACTATAATAAATCATCTGGCCAGTCATTGGTTCATCAAATCCTGAGATTCCAGCACCTATATTCGGCTTTACACGGATCTGCATGGTATTTACAAAGCGATTGTATGTATGTTGTAGAGGGGAGATAATCTCCGCAACTCCCCGCAGCACCCGGGTTGAGACCAAACCCGGCAAGCGCAAGTGCATATGCAGGATGTGCCGTCACTTTCGTCACAGTTACTAGGGTGTGCATTAGCCCGGCGAGGGGCACATAATGGTAGGTGTGTGTGTGTGTGAGAGAGCGTAAGAGGATAGACGATCATGCCAATGAAGAGGAATAGCCCTGAAAAGTCACCTGGCAAGATATGACTGGACCAGTCATCCTGGTGCCCAACCCCCCCTTTTTTTTCAAGTTTCATTTTGTTTTGCCTCTAGGCAGATACATGGCTCTGTTTAATTTTTCTCGTACATTAATTCCTCGATGTGAAGGGTATAGTGCACAGTCAGGGATGATCTCCTGGTAAGGCTCCGAACCGTGCGCAGGACGGGGCGCCGCGCATGTCTTTTTTTTTTCCTTCTACGGCTTCCACGGCTTCTACGGATGTTCCAAAATGCTTCTGGCGTCCTTCTGGAAGGTCAGGAGAAGGCTTGGCAGAGCCATCCGTGCCGTCCACGGGTCTTTTTGTGGCAGTGGAGTGGATTCCCAGAGGCTGAAGCCAGGCCCCGGAAGGGAAAGGGGTTGAGTAATTACCGATGCAGACCGGATTAGCTCCACTGCAGGATCGTCAGAGTCCGCGTACCTAAGAAAAGAAGAGGGGAAAGAGAGAGAAGAAGGTCGAAGTCAGTTGGTCCTACCAACCGTGTAACCCATATATGCTGCGTGAGGTACGTACAGGAATGGTTACCATTGTGATAGCGGAACTGTTCTAGAAGGTCAATCTCGATTTTGCGATGTTTCCGGCTAACAGCCGGGTAGATTATCGAGGTAATCTCCTTCGCATCGTGTAAAAATAAGTATATCACTCAATGTGTCGCACCATGAGAAACTTGCATGTCATCGTTGATCGATGTCTCCTGTTTCTTTTCCTTTTTGCCTTTTCCCTTCCTTCCTTTTTTCTTTTTTATTCTTTGTGATTTTATCGTAATCGTAAAATCCGGATGAGAAATGCGTGTATTTTCTATTTCGCTTCAGGGGTTGTCAGTTGTAGTTCGGCCCCTCCCCCCCCCTTTCATACTGTATATGGGACTCTATTAACGCATTGCTACACCGTATATTACAACATTGGGATCTGGTTCCTTATTAGCCCGATCCTATGCTTAATTTGAGCCATGGCCTGGGAATAAACACCACACTCCAAGGTATATTTAAAGATTAAATTTCAGGAGGCTATATCGAGGCGGATAATAATAATCACAAGGAAACTCAGGTTCGGATCGGCCTTTTGGATCCATTTCCACACGGGGAGAAGGGCACGTTGTGGATCCTTCTGGTGCGGTCAGGTTTCCTTCTAGCGGGCTTCGCTGGGTCCGACTAGGAAGACTAGTCCTTCTAGAAAGGGAATTCAGCTTAGGAGAGGTCTGAATGGATTGCAACTGATATAGCAGCACAACCGTGGGATGTAGATGGAAACGCCATATAGGATCAGAAGTCCGATTTGAAGCCGGTATAATAAGACACGAAGATAATACACAAATACTACGAGAGGGCCAAAAATAAGTTCTCCAAGTGTAAATAAATGATGTACAAAGATGCAAGAGACAGTGGCACCTACCACACCTAAATCACCTAAACATGTAATAATCATAATATTTCCTATTTCTCCTCCCCCCCCCCCTTTCTCATCTTCTACTTTTTAACCCTTCGCTTCCCTTTCTTCTTCTTTCATTTCATCTTCAATCTTCTTGATCTCTTTGTCTCTCTACCTTCTTAACCCCACTTGACCCGGCCGCAAATTCCTAAATTCTCTCGAGCCTCTCTTTGTGTCGCCCTCGACTCTTCTCTATTATAGTATCTTGAAACCTCAAGCTTCGTTGAAAAAGGTGTGTTTTCCGCTTCACTCCTTGCCTTCACCGCGATTTGCCAGTGATGACGCATCCCGCCTGTTCGCCTTGGCTGCCCAACTCTCTCCGCCATGCGCTGTTATCTTGGGTTTCGTGATCACGGACAATTTCCCCATACGTGCTGGTCTGGTCTTTTTTCATTTTCCTGGAACTCGGCGTTGTGACTGGTCTCCCGTACCGAGGACCGCGGAGCACAGGCGAGAAAATCAGCTTACAGCACGGTGGTGGAAAATACTCGGCATCGCAACCATCGTCTTGATATTAGTTTCATGCTGACCATCGACATTTCTTGTGTTGCATAGGAACCTCCACAGGGATAGTTGACCTATCTTCCTCCACCTTCACCGACAAACGAACACGCGTTCCGCCTTGAGCCGACCACAACATTATTCTCTGAGACGAGCTTGGCTTTTTTTGGCAGAAAGCCCATCGTTCGATACCTCTTACGCAACCTTGCATTCCACTGCAGAAAAGTGGAGAATTTACCCCGTCGCATTCTTCGCCGAGGGACTGTCCAAGACGATACAGGTCTACGCAGGGTGAGTTTCTGGGTCTAAGGTCTTCCCACGAGCTGCGCACTCGCGGAGCTTTTGCAGAATCGAGCTCGATCTACTGTGCCGAAGATTAGTTCTAATTATATCGTGACTTGCAGAGCTTGCTAGTTGTGACCCGAATCTCCCACCCAACGGCCTCCACTGTTCATATCCGTCCTAACGCGCCAAGGACTCCGAATCCAATAAGCTATCGGACTTCATCGGAATACTAGTCGCGCGGAAGGTCTGCCGAAGGACGTCTTCGAAAGCAGTCCTTGACCGCGGTCCCTTGGCTACTTGCTGGGTCGGGTCATGGACTTCACGACCATCCTGAACAGGAAAAACTCCGCTGCAGCCGCCGCCGCCGCTGAGGCGCAGTTACAACAGCAGTACTTCCAACATAGTGCACAGTTGCACACCGGAGCTTCACCCACGATGAAGAGCGAATCAGGTGGCCCGGAAAACCCCGTCAATGTATATCCTCCTCACGGTCCCCCGCCCATGCAAATGGATGGTGGACTTCCCGATTCCTTCTATTATGGACAGCCTACGGGCTCAACCCCTCGAAACATGGCCTATGCCCCTGCGGGATACGCTGGCGATCCCCAGATGCAGCAGGAACCTGCTCCCCAAGGAAGAGCAGGTATTGACCCACCACCAAAGACTTTCCACTGCTCAACCTGCAACAAGGGCTTCGCACGGCGCAGCGACCTTGCTCGACATGGTATGTATCCTTCGGAAATTTTGGAGATGCGGCCGCTAATGATTCACAGAGCGTATTCATACAGGAGTTAGACCTCACGCTTGCGAGTGGCCAGGGTGTGGAAAGCAGTTCATTCAACGCTCGGCCTTGACAGTGCACTCCCGTGTACACACCGGAGAGAAACCCCACATGTGTGAGAGATGTGGCAAGGTGTGTAACTTTCCTCTTTTTGTTCTGGCTAAATCTAACATTTATTCAGCCCTTCAGCGACTCGTCTTCGCTGGCCAGACATCGCCGCATTCACTCCGGCAAGCGACCCTACAAATGCCCGTATGCCAACTGTCAGAAGACCTTCACGCGTCGCACGACTTTGACACGCCACCAAAATCACCACACCGGGACTATCGAAGAAGCTGCTGCTGAGACAGAGGCCCAGTTGCGGCAAAATAAGGACCGTGGACGTCCTGGCGAAGGAATGTTTTCTGAGCACGCTTCCATCCATTCTACCCCGTCACCCGCGCATCACCCGTCCATGTCACCTGGTGGTGAGCTCCCGCCGCTGAACATGCACCGCTCTGCCGGCGACTACTACATGGGCAACGGCCCTATCCCGCCTCATGTGCGTGGGGATTTCCCCCAAGGCAGCCCCCGAGCTTCCCCGACTGCGACATCTCCTTCGCTATCCAGCTACGGCAGTGCGCCCCACAACCGGCCATCCATGACATCGCATCCCTACGGTCTGCCTCAACCTCTTGAGCCCCCAGCGAACAGTGATCACCGCCCCAATAGCGTGAATGGCAGTCCACACATGACTAGTCTTGGATGGGCTTCGCCTTCTCACGGTGGCATGCCATCGCCCGGATCAGCCAACGACTTCACCTACCCTGAGCCCACTGGCCCCGCGTATCCGACATCAATGCCGCCGCACATGTATTTTCCCAACTCTACCATTCGTCGGCCTACCAGCACCGAGCCGGAGAACTACGAAATGAAACCTCGAGGTGACCACACATGGTCTACTGCTGTATGATGCGATTCACAACCGACACAAGTGTCTCGCAACAGCTTGAATTTTCCGTTATTTCCTTTGTTTAATAACCTCATTGCATAAGCCTTTGATTCCCACGAGAGAATACATCTATGCCTCTCGATTGATTTCTTATTTTCCTTTGTTTTTCATGCATTTTCTTATTCCGTTTGTATTTATATTGATGGGAAACCAGCGCACTGGAAGGAGTCGGACGGTCTGATCGTGTTTCAAATCTGCGATTTATTGTTTTGTTTCAAGATGTCATCTTGCCCTTGCAACCCCATTTTCTTTTGTTAAATGCTTGCGGGTGACACTACCGAGACACGATCAGATGAGGAACTGCATCCATGGAATAGATAGAGGGTTGGACTAGGGATTGTCTTGGGTATGGATGGGTTCGGGAAAGGTTCTGGGTTTGTTTTAGGGAGACTCCTGATGCTGGTGTCTGGTTAGGATTTATTTAGTTATGCGTGCTTGTTCATTTTGCTTTTTTATTCTCATTGTCTCATACATCTAATCATTGTATTGCTTCTTTACCATTACTCTTGACTGTCGCGTTTCTTCCTCGATTATACGAGCATTTCTCCAAGGTTGCAGTCTCCACGGCTGTACTCTACATTTTTGAATCCAGGACATCGAGGCATGTCTCTAGCGCAGCAAGGTGATGACGAGGAAGAGCTCTATCGGGTGAAGCTGTGATCTACTAAACAAGGAAATCCGGGTCAAAAGGTTCCTTATTGCCCTTCTCATGCCCGAATTAATCCCAAACTATAATATAGGACAAGTTTCGCGAGGTGCCGCGTGGAGAGTTAAGACTACGCCCTGGAATGAAACATAAAAGTAGCTGTTGAAGAGGGGACCCCTGAGGGGCACCGACAGCCCTGTCTGCGAAACAGGTGTGAGAGCAGAGTCGTCACTGGGAGTAGTAGGGTGCTAGAGAGGAGAACACCATGGGGTGACTACTGAGAATGGAAGTGGAAAGGTGTCTGCGTTGCTATCTATGCCTCGGGAGTGCTTTTATATCATATAGCCGCTTAGTCATCCTGCTCTGGAAACCCCCACTGCAGTATCTAAATGTTATGTTAGAGCCCTGGAGGGCTGTAGTGATTACATATCCTATGTACCTGTAACTAACTATGTACCTACCCGTGGACATAAGTACATACTTAACTACCCGCATCACAAGTTTAGTCTCATTTTCTCATGTTGAAACGCGCACCCTTTAGTTGCCCGCAGTCATGGCTACGATGAGCTTTGCACCTACTGGCCACCTTCAGGTACTGCGGGATCCACCTGATGAATCTCAGGATGGCATCGAGTAAGAGAAACCCACAGACTGGCTCAGTTTAGGACCTCCACTTATTCTCAGTCTAGTATTGTTCTCGTTCCTGGCATCGGAACTATCTTACCGGCAGAATGGCCGTTTGCCAAAGAAGAATGGCTTGCCACCCTACCAAGTTCCAGTGCTGGGACACGCGTCCTCGCCTACGAATATGCTTCGCCATTTGCGACCGCCAAGCCTTCATGGGAGTCGATCTTGATGCTAGGTCACGACCTTCTCCAGCATGTAAGCGACGGGCGATACTCAGACGCGGTAAAATTGATTACTTCCCTTCGAACCATCCGTATACTTGCTAATTTACTTCCTCCAGACTGCCAACAAGCCAATCTTGATAGTCTGCCACAGCTTAGGTGGTATTATAGTCAAACAGGCATTATGTGTCGCCAACAAGCAGTTTAACCGGTACGAATCAATTATCAACGCTATAGCTGGCGTTATCTTCCTAAGCACTCCGCATCGCTATGGCGACAAGACCACCAGTTTGATACGGTTTCGAGATATATTTGAAGCGACGACCAGCAGAAACTTGAATATTCCAAGTACCAATATCGAGCAAGAAGGTGCCATTTTGCTTGACCTTGCAGATAGATTCGAAAAAGTCTCATTCAGTACCCCCATACTATCCGCGTACGAACTGAGAGAATCGAAAACCAGTTCGACTACACTGCAGCATAAATACCAACAAGTCAGTTTGAAGCCCTCGAATTAGGTCAACGCTAACTTCCAATATAGTTGGTCAACCGTGAAGCTTGTTCAACTCGCGCCCGAATGGAAACAGTCATTGGCCTTAATCTTAATCATCACGATACATGTCTTTTCACCCAGAGCGTTGGTGGCGAAAGTCTACCGGAGTTTAACAATTTTGTCTACAACACTTTGCGTGCCGCCGCGCGTCTTTTTGCTATTCAACTCAAGGACCGTAGGTTATGAACGCATCAGAAACCGCAGAACGGTATTAATGGTCTCAGAGGAATCTCAAGATGCAACGACGAGCGCTTACTCCCCCACAATGAGCGAATTACCACTAAAATTTAAGCTGAATATCTACATATTACCAGGTTATCATAGATGTCGGTTAGTTGAGCAATTGGGACTCACGGAGTCGCCATCCAACAAAGCAACGGACGGAACATCTCTTTCGGGGTTTGAGTTGGTAACTCCTATAGCACCAAAATCTGATATTGTGAAACCCCTCCACATACCATGCTTCCTTCTCAATACGCATTCAGCAAATCAGGATTTCTGCGGCCGTGAAGATATCTTGGAACGTCTCGCAACCGAGCTCTTACCTCCAAAGAACAGAGTGACAGCATCGGGCACCGCTATAAGGCAGTTTGCACTTTGTGGATTTGGAGGAATTGGAAAGACGGAAATAGCTCGCGAGTTTGCCCGGCGTCACAAACATCCCTTTGATGCGGTATTCTGGGTCTTGGCGGATGAAGTTGCAAAACTTGATCACCATTACCAGCAAATATCGTTAGCACTAGGACTCGAAGAATCATCCGAGTGCAAAAGCCAGGTTGTCAGTAGAGAGATTGTGAAAGGGTGGCTCTCTAATCCTCGAAAGCATATATCAGGGTCGGATGATTTTATTCAACCTGGCGAAGCTAGCTCGGAAGCAACTTGGTTGCTTATATTCGACAACGCAGATGAGCCAATAATTCTGGCAGACTACTGGCTCCAAGGCAGTGGATCGATTCTTATCACTAGTCGCGACCCTTTATGCAAAAACATGTTCACGGGAAGACCCTCAGGCTGGATTTAGGTCCACTTTCACAGCAAGACAGCCTATCCCTTTTCAACCACCTCACTACTGTCTCTAACGACCTAGAAGTTGACACAGCGCAAAAAATTTCCGATGCACTTGGTGGAATGGCCATTTCTCAGATGGCTGGTATTATCCGTCGACAAGACCTCACTCTTTCAGAGTTTTTTGAGCTGTATATGGACCATGAAGAACATGCCAGTCCTTATGAAACAAAGTTCGATACGAACTTGGTCACATATCGTCACTCTCTCTCCACCGTATGGGCATTTGGGAAGCTCAAGCCTCAAACTCAACAGCTTTTGGAACTGATATCATTTCTTGATCCGGATTCCATCGGAGAAGACTTATTGGAAGCATCCGTGGAGCTGATTTCCGAGGGCACATCGTTTAAGAAAAGTAACTATATTGAGGCTCGAACTGATCTCTTGCAATCATCTCTGGTCCAAAGAGATAAGCAAAAGCAGCAAATATCAGTTCATCGCATTGTGCAAGATGTGATACTAGCAACAATGGATGTTGAGAAGAAACGGTCCATGTTTGACCAAGTGGTACGAATTCTGTGGGCAGACTGGCCATCGGCTATGCCAAAGCCATCAAGGGAGCCAGAGCTACCACAGCCCAAATCCTCTGGCAACAGGTTATATGTTGGAAGATGGCCTGCCTGTGCAGCGGTTTACCCTCACGTTCTTAGGATGCATCAGCTCTGGCCAGCTATATCAGATTCCTCGGAGGCTACCAAATTGCTTTTCGCAAAGTTACTGACTGATGCAGCATGGTGATTATACGATATTCAGGCATTTTATTTACTATAGAGTCTAACATTCTCCCGGTATCAAAAAGAGCGTGGACGGACAAAGCAATTTGATGGCTTCTTCGAAACTGCTCGCAGCATCCGCGAGTCCTCAACACACCCAGATCGGGATTCCCTGCTTGCAGATATCCATTTCTGCCTAGGAGCTATAGCCATGGATGCGAGCAATTTCGGCACAAGCCGCATCCACAAGGAGCGTTCTTTTGATCTAGTTTCCAAAATTTGCAACGAACTTGGAACTGCAGACGACAGATTATACCTCGCCTACGCAGAACGAGGGATCTCACGGATCCAGGACGGACGGTACGAGGAAGGGGAGGCCGACCTAAAGGAGGCGCTGCGGATACGCAAGGCTCTCGGTAACTACATTCCGCGGTCTGGCGAGGCCAACCTGAGCTGGGCTCTCCTTTTGCAGGGCAAGTTGAAGAGTCCAACACACTTCTTCTGGATAGCCTGGCCGGCAGAGAAAAGGCTTTAGGCAAGAATGACAGGGAATCCGTCCGGACCGGTCTGATTTTATATGCACTTGGCAACCTCCATGCTGCGCAAAACCAGTGGGACGAGAGCTTTAAATATCACCAGAGAGCGTGGCATCACATGCGCGAGACGGTGGGTGAGAGGGACTTTTACACACAAAATGCTCTGAAATCTTAGACCCCAAATCACGCGCATTTCCATAATTATACCCAGGCACTCCAAAGTCTACTGCAAGGATTATTCTACATAATAGTTTATTCAGTCCTGCGATAGCCTTCCTACCACTGCAGCTTGCACCTATCACTAAGAATGGAGACAACCGCAACTGCGGGATCACGGGATCGTCAATCTGGTCAGGGTTTTGAGTAACTCGCTATTGTGCAATTCTGTTTTTTGCATCCAATATTGGCACATTTCTTTAGGGCCGTGGCGATAAATTAGGTAAATCCGCCCTCTAAAACAATACCGAGCGACGGCCACTCGTTCAGTATGATTCTTTTGGTATTGCTGCGAGCCCTTTGCAATGCTTATTCGTCTCGCGTTGTTAAGAATACCTGCTTCTGATTTGGAAAAACGGGCATTGCCGCTTAACCCAGTATGAAATTTCTTTTTGTCCGCTTCCTCATTATCTTTAGCCGCAGCACCAGGGCACCGCTCCACCGGCTGTATATCGACCGCTATCCCAGCAGGCTCGACGCTTTCCATTGCTCCAGACGCATTCGTTTGCTCTGAATCGGTTGGCCTAATGCCATTGAGACTCAACTTGTCGAGCGCGCTGATTAGGGCATCCATTGCTCTCTTTCAAGTCCCTCCTTTTTCTCTTGTGGCCCGCTTAGTGCTTTATGGTAACTGATTTGCTTCTTCTTTTCCTCTTCGCACTCCCTCCTTTCTTGGCCAGCTTCAGCTCAGTAGGAATCTGTGGAGGCAATATGCCGATTCCGATGTACTCAAAGTATTGGGATCTACGGAGGTGGTCAGACAGATTGGTCACCACATGCGTCCGTATCCAGATCTGCATGCAATGGGAAAATGGTATGCTGTTCTTGCGCGTTCAACCGAAAGTATTGAAGTCGCTTCTTATACTGCCCTCTCCTGGGCCGCCTCAACCGATTTGAATTCAAACAGAATTTTCAATGTCATTTAGTGAAAAAACGTGTAGATTTTGTAAAGAATTGTGAGTGTCTTGAAGTCACAAAGGTGGTAGATGATGGATGGTTCAGTTTGACTCGGTCTGCTTAACTGATGAACGATCTAAATAAAGACGAGATAACCAATGCAATATTTGTGCTGGCTAGAATATTGCAATCCTAGGTGAAGCCATATTGGCTGCAAGCTCAATTCCTGTGTCTTCGTAATCTGAAAGCCCTATGCCATAAGGCATGGCGTTCGAGGACGAGTAACATTGAGGGCAATAGGGAAGAGAGATACTCTTTCAAACCCTAATCACATGATACGCTAAGCTTGATATGGATTGAGTGTAAATTACCGGTTGTGTATGTACACGGTAATAATACAAGGGTCTAGAACCCGAGGCCTACCCAAGTTCAAACCAGATATGAGTCAGCATGACACGTGCCTCAACCAGCTAACTAAGCCATGACAACGGGAGTTCCGTTAGCACGCTTCAGCCCGTAACAGGCCTGTTACTGGCTAGTTTGATAGCAAGATCGGGGGATGTAGGCCTACTGGAAGAAAACGCTGGACTTGGATTTAATGAGGATACATTCACCGTTTTAAAAGCGTCTAACTTATTTAATTTTAGCGATCACTTCCAAAAAACCGCATTTGTTTCATATATCGAAATCCCCTTTACTCCACTGGTATATGTCCGAGTTGAAATGTTGTTTCGTCTCCCAATCGAGCTACGTTTGAAAGTATACGAACTAGTATTCGGGACATGTCCATGTCGCAATCCGCACGCCTTTTATACACCCAAGCATCAGATTGCATTGAATATCCTACTCATTAACCGCCAAATTTATGCGGAAACCCGTGTTCTGGGCTTCCAACTTCACAAATTCGACTTCCACAGATGGTGCGGGACTGGAGTTCATTCCTGTAGAATCTTTCTCCAGCGTCTGTGTCAATGGCAGTTGTGCTCAATTCAAAGGCTGAGTTTACGGGCTGTTGAGAGCAGTCTTATCAACGGATCTGGCAGTTGTCGGCCTACATCTGAATGGATTGATATCTGCGCCATTCTGGGGGCCGCGGTAGGGCCAAATTGCACCGGGTTACGGGAATTGAGCCTGACTATTGAAGGCCAATTAATAGAGGGTGGTTTGAGGCTTCTTGATACCGAAGCCGAATGGGTGAAGATAGGACTTGGGAGCTTCAAGTGTCTGCAGCGCCTTGAACTTATCATTGCGAGCGATACAATTCATATAGGAGCAGCAACAAACTTCAAATGCGAACTGGCAGATACTTTAAGGGGAGTCCGGATTGTGATAAAGGCAGTTGTGTGGGGAAGTGAGATTTCTTTATAAATTGATGGAGACCCGTATATATATAGGATATGTTGTCTTCGCTCAGTCTTGATCGCCACTTCAGTTAAGATAATTTCTGGTCGAGGTCTTTTGGATGCCGGAGTAGCAGCAACAACGTGCGATAAGAAACAACAGTAATAGCTAGGCGGAAACTTGGTTCTGGATGACCCTCCGAGGCTGCGGGCTGTAGAAAGAATAACTTTATGTACATATATCGTGGAAAGCCTCGGAATTGGGCCCACCTTCTAGAGCCTTATTCTTCCACTGCTCCTACCCGTACGCAATTCCTGGGCTTCTACGGATGCTAACTAGTTAATGCCTATTGGCTACTTATGTAACAATGACTTTACCTCGTCAAAGCCCACCAAGAATGACAATAGTCTGGCTAAATGGGCCCTAAATTTTCGCAGAGGCAAGGTAATACTGTAGAGTCACAGTGTTTTGAATATATCTTAGCTATCTTGGCGAGCCCTAGCCTAGACCGAGGGTGCACAGGCGGGTCCAAATCAGCCAGACTTCACTTCAATAAAAAATTCTCTTCAAACTGGCCAATTACAAGATAGAGGAAATATGATCGTGATTGGCCACTTCTATCGCCGATATATTAACCGGATTGCTTGGCAGTGGCTAGTTAAGAGATAGTGGGGAAGCTAAGGCACCAGATGTGTTTATTGGCTACTTATAGAGCCGTGTGGGACAGTGGGAGGCGGTGTGGAATTTTATGAGCATATGTGTTTAAACTGACCAATCATAATAAGCATTGGAATACGATGGTTGGCCGCTTCTGCTCCACAAGGTGAAACTAAGGCCGAGTTAGAAAGGCCAAGCGAAAAAGTATAGTATACGTTACGGTCGTTGGCCACTTATATAGCAAGGTACTACAACTAAAGGAGGTTACTTAATACTATACAAGTAAGCAGGCTGAGATATAAATAGGGAAGTACAAAGCTGGAGTACTTGAATTAGCGACAGACAATTATCGACGTCCTAAGGTTCCCATCCAAGGACACCATCCTAAAGTTCCCATCCAAGGACACCATCCTAAGGTTCCCATCCAAGGACACCATGGCAACAATACCTATCGAGTCATCTCAGACGATTTCCCCACCCATCTTTTACTGGGGTACACCGGTTGTGTTGATAACGACGGAGAACGAAGATGGAACATCCAACATCGCGCCCATGTCATCAGCATGGTGGCTTGGAAATCGATGCATGTTAGGCCTAGGGGCCATATCGCAAACCACGATCAATTTGATTCGAACCAAGCAATGTGTCCTGAACCTCGCATCAGACAACATGGCAGGAGCAGTAAACGCTCTAGCAAAAACAACTGGGTCGAAGGAGATGTCGACCGCAGCCAAGGGAACAGGATACCTATACTTCAAACGCATGAATGGCTACAAGTATGTGCCGGACAAATTTGGACATTCAGGCTTGACACCGGCGGATTCCGATCTGATTCGACCTCCCCGCATTGCTGAGTGCCCTGCTCAGATGGAGGCCGAATTGAAGGGGGTGTATGAAATGATGCAAGACGCGGAGATGAAAGGGTTTATCGCGTTGGAGGTTCAGGTTCTTCGGACACACGTTCATGAAAATATTCGCATGGCAGGGCATGCGAATCGAATCGATCCCGACAAATGGCACCCGTTGATTATGAGCTTTCAGGAGCTGTATGGACTGGGGCGCAAAAAGACTTCCGAGTCCATTCTCGCCGAAATCAACGAAGAAGGATACAGGCCATTCTCTAACACTGTCGACGATGAGACAACAACTGAAGAGGAGGAGTAGAAATTTTGACGAATACATTGTTTCTGTATGTATCTTGGGCTACAACGTAACAACAGCGTTGTCATGCCGGATGTTCTTCAACAGAACCTCCCATTAGATCTTTTTCCTTTCAATCAATCATTCTCATTGGCACTAAATGATATTGGCGCGGAGAACAGATTAATGCACTGTATGATGAGCTCCAGAAAAAAATTTGTGTGCACAAAGGGGAATCGGTTTTCGACTCCGACTGTACAGTATAAACATTAACACACATATAGGGTATTTAACTACTACCCGAGTAGTAAGCCTACAAGATATCCTAAATGTGTTGACTCATCTTCTCCGACATCTAATTCCTCAATATCTCCAGGGACCTAGTGCATTCCAAATATATGGAAGGAAGAGGCCCACTGTCCGCTATGTAGTTGAATCTGAAGCCGGATCTTCTAGCCATAACGGAATAGATGGGCCCACGCTAGTAGCTATTTCTCTATCGCTGCCTAATCAACACTAGTACCTTCAAAGTGTTTCGCAATGTCCTGTTGGGAGTTCACCGATAACACCATGTCCGTGTCATCTAGTCTCACCCGTCGGCTATGGGCTGTCCACCAGTTTCGGGACGTACTGTATTACCATAAAATACTGGAACAGTTCTTCAAATACGGAAACAGCCATATTAGGATTAGGGTGTCATGTGATTAGGGTTTGGAAGAGTGTCTCTCTGTTTCCCAACATGTCGGTA